TACATGCCAACTTCTATGTATTTTATATATGTATTTTATTCGGCATAGGGAAAAGACCACTCTATTTTCACATCTGTATTTTTTTTGTTATTATGCCATTAGTTAATATGCAATATCATACTGTTGACGATGAAAGAAACAGTTAATAAACACAGGAGCAGTATGTAATCTGTAATCTAAAATAACTACACTGATGATCTTGGCACTGCAAGCGTTCTTACATGCTGTTGTTCAACAAGATAGCACAGTTCAGTGACACCTTCTGCCTCAGAAGTCAGGAAGAGCATGCCTGCTTTTGTGTGTTCAAACTAAAACAAAAGTGTAAGGTTTTTTAGACTCCTGCTTGAAATTCATTAAGTGTAATTAACGCTATTAACATAAGAATATCAGATACTCTTTTTGTTTATTGGCTTAAGTTTAATGCTTATTGGCTTAAGTTTAATGTTAGCAGATCTGACTTGACTAAGCAATGTCTAATTATATCAATGCTGAATGTGGACTCTCCTGCCTAATTTTCATAACAAGCCTCAAAGCTGAATTCCTCTAATGTTTAGTGGCAAACTTTGAACATAAGCCAAACAGTATGGACCAATGCTTTTTGATGCAATACACCATCCACTTGTAGGGCAACAAACATTGATTTGTGTGAAGTTGAAGAGTATATATAATACTTCTTTCCCTTTTTGTTTTCAGACTCTTTGGTCTAGTGGAACCTTCTCAGAGTCCACCTTTTCAGGGACATGTGGCACGGCCCAAATCTATGACTGTGTAGTTACCAAAACACAAAAGCACACTTGCACTTTCAACCATGTATGTTTCTGTAGTGCAGTTTATGCTGTGAAAAATGATGCAATAATTAAGCCAATAAAATTAACATGATTTCCTGTAATGCTTAACCTTTACAAATGCCAGATTTGGGAAAAATCTAAAGTCAAAGCTTTTTCCCTAGACAAAAGGCACTTAGCTCTACTAATATGTACTTCCAGTCAGGTATCCCACGAACAATTAGTGTTAATATATTGTAAAGTAATTGACTTTTTGACAAGGAGAAGGGCAGCTTTCTGACTCAGCTCACTTAGACCACCATCAAGGAGACTGAAGAGAGTAACATTTATCAGAGCTGTCATTTTTAGGCTGGGATGAAGGCAATCCTTTTAACTTTAACACATAAAATAATCTGTTAACACATACCCAGCAGAGTACATCACAGCAAGATTTGGAGGAAAACTATTTCCCAACAAACAGTTAAATTTAACTTTGCAAGATTAGCCAATAATAAATTAATTCTAGATAAACCAGTAAATGTAATTTTCCAAACAATGTTTTCCTCTTTCCATTTATATCAAGCCAGCCTATTACTAAAATCCACTCATAAAAAAGTCCTTACAGGAGCAAGTAATAAAATTTGTGTTCTGTAGTTTACTGACTTCAGTGGGGGAAAGAAATTTCTTATAACCAAAACCAGAGGAACAGTAAAAGCCAAACTACTCCTACAGCTTCTTTCTGAGGCCTTCCTACTTTCCTATGACCAAACCAATCACATAAAAGATCACCATTCTGGCAAATGCTGGTGTGTATCAGCTGGTTATGTGTGAAAATTATTTAATTTGAATAAGCTGTATTTGCATAAGTGGAAAAAGTATTTCTGCAGAATTTCAGTACAGAATTCTTTAAGTTTGTCCTGGAAGTCTCCATCTGTATTCTCCCAGGAAGTGTCACTTAGGATAATGCAGGAGCCAGGAAGAGAGATGCTCTGGTGTACCTCATAGTTACAAAAAGGAAACGTGAAGGCTGGGTCTTGGCTGTAGTGATTATGAGATGGTGGAATCCAGGATCTTGAAAATAGGCAACAAAGGAAATGGCAAGATCATAATCACCACCTTCAGGAAAGCACATTTTGGCAAACAGAGGCATCAGCTTGAAATAATTCCTTGGGAGACAGGCCTGGAGAGAAGGGTCCAGGAGCTGACTGATTTTTAAGAATCACCTTTTCCAAGCTCAACAATCTCCACATACAGGAAATCAAGAAAAGGCATGATGAGCTCCTGGCAAAGCTCAGACATAAAAAAGAAGCACACAAGAACAAGAAACACTATTTGGGATGTGGTTAAGAAAGCCAGAGCCTACCTGGAGTTGAATCTGGCAAGAAGGGCTTCTAGAGGTATAGCAGCAGCAGAAGACAAGAAAAAATGTGGGCCTAGTGCTGAGTGGAGCTGGCAGGAGATCCAGTAGCAAAGGGCAAGCAGGGTCAGGAACATTTATGCAGACCGGACACACACAAGTTTATGGGACATAATGGCATGTGCCTGCAAGGAGTGGTATGTGCTGAAGAAGCTGCTGATGTCGTTGTAAGGGCACTCTTCATAATCTTTGAATAGTCACAGTGATAGGGGGAGGTTCCAAGGATTAGAAGAAAGCAAAAATAACTCTTTTCTTAAAAAGGTTAAAAAAGAAGTTCCAAAGAACTATAAGCTGCTCGGACCACCCTCACCCCAAACCCTGCGAGGTTGAGAGAACAAATAATCCTGGAAAACATTTACATTAGGAACAACGATGTGAATGCAAGTAGTCAGCATGGATTAATAAAGAGAAAATTAGGCCTGCCCAACCTGGCATCTCTAAAGAGATGACTGGCTTGGTGGACAAGGGGAGACATTGGATACTGCTGACCTTGATTTTAGCAAGGCTTTCAACAGAGTCTCCTGTCACGTTCTCACTGATTAAGTACAAGACAGATAACTGGACAGTGAAACTGAAAACTGGCAAACTGTCAGGTTCAAAGGGTTGAGATCTGTCCAGGATGTGCAGCTGGAGGCCCATCAAAGTCCAGCTGGAAGTCTGTTTCTAGTAATGTACACTAAGGTTTCATACTAGATCCAATACTATATAACATCCTGATTAATTATTTGAACAATGGGCAAGAGCGTTCTTGTGTCAAGTTTACGGATAATCCCAACTTGGGAGTGGTTGATATGCCACGGGATCATGCTGCCATTTAGAGGGACCTCCACAGACTGGAGAAAGGGGCTGACAGGAACCTCATGAAGTCTAGCATATGGAAACAGTGAGCCCTACACCTGGAGAGGAATAACCCCATGCACCAGTACAGGCTTGTGAGCTGAATGGCTAGAATGCAGTTGTAGGGTAGGCTCTACACAGTTGACTGAATTGAGTAATGAATCTTTGCAGCAATGAAGACCAGCAGCCTTTTGGGTGGCATTAAAAAAGTATACACCACCCACAGGTCAAGCAATGTGTTTATTCCTTCTACTTAGCACTGATGATGCCACATCTGGAGTGTTGTGTCCACCTCTGAGCCTCCCAGTACAATAAAGCAATGGGCATACTGGAGCAAATCTAGCAAATTGCTACTAAGATGAATAAGGGAATATAGCATTTGTCATACGAGAAGACATGAGAGAGCCAAAATTGTTTAGCTCGGAGGCGACATGGCTGTTTCCTGCTGTCACCTCTGGGCAGCTGTGGGAAATGCATGCAGACAGCTTTTCTATAAGTTTCATCAAGCAGATATCATGCAAAGGAGGTACTGCTTTTGAAGCAATTTAAATGAACAGAGCCACACCTTCTTTCCTGGTAACTGGATCTATGATCTAAGTCTAGTTTGTAAAACTGATTCTTGGCAGGGTTTCTTTAGTTGTCTCATCAGCAGCTGTGGAATGATGAAATATCTGCAAGAATGTTTCGATTTCAGTCCATCTGCTGATTCTATACAAAAATTTGTAGATTCCACTCCTGGCTGAATTAAATAAATACAAATGAAAATATTATTTGCTTTTTTTTCTTGAATCTGTCCTTAGAGATTTTACATTGCCAGCCACTCCATGGCCCACTTCATGGTGACCCCTATATTTTTGTGTACACTCTTATATAATCCTTGCATACTCTATTGCCTCATCATGAGGCTTCTACAGAAAGTGACAGATTCAGATCTGAACCATTTGAAAATCAGAAGGAATGTAGATTTAGGAGTTCACAGAAAATGCTTTAGCTAGTGGGATTCTGTATAAAAGCTGATGCCTTTTACACAGGCATCACCACTAAATGTGACAGCTCACTGTGGGCGTATGGACAGCCTCAGCTTTCCTAATGAACTGCACCCCTGGGCAGACTTTGATTTGGAGCCACCTAATCTGTACATCTCAAATGGCCTGAAATAACATATAGCCAGCCATATACCAAAGTGATACGCAGGTATTTGAACCTGTTTAAAAGAGGCCTGGACAGAAGATAGAGTGCCTGCAATATTTCAGATACTGCACTGAGTTAAATGAGTATCCATTGATTGGCTTTCTGCAAGTGTAAAACAGCCTATGTTTGTTTTATATTATCTTGTATCTTCCCTTAAGGGCTCTGTAAAATTAACAAAGGATCAGAATTTTTTTTTTTTTTTTGTAGGTGAAAAATATTATATATACATTACTGTTGATTAAGAAAAGTCAATGTGAAACTGCTCATTTTTACAGACATCAGTAACTGACACACTCTGTACTACTGAGCACACTCTGATCTATGAGCCACTGAATACTGTTCCACTGCCTGTTTTAAATCTAGGTTTTTTAAATCGAAGTTTTAGGCATAAAACTGACAGTGGAAAAGTACAGTTTATTTCTCTATGGTTGTAAAACGTCTTTTCCTTCAAAGGGCAAATGTATTCAAGCATTACAATGTATTCAAAATCAGAAATGGTACTTGTTTCAAGGTTAGAAATTAAATATTTATAATTTCTTACTTCACATTTGCTTCTTTTTCTGCATTAGGTCTGAGAAATTGTTGAAACGTTTCCTGCAGCCTGAAATGACACAGAGCTTTGTAAAAAGGACACCCTTATTTTACATCCAAGGAATATTGCTTAATAGGTATTAATCTGAAGAAATATATTTTACAATAAAGTTTTTGACAGACTACCAACCTTCTGAACACCCAGAGAGCATTTAATTTTTGTCTCATCAGAAGCACCTAATGTCACTGCACATGCTACAATGGAAACTGTAAGACAAATGCAAAGTTCTGGCATCTGTGTTACCTGTACATATCCTGTAGCATCTGGTGTGGTGTTTGCCACTCTTCTAGTTTCTTGCTGCTCATCTCTGAACATAAGAGCTCGCCCACTTGTCTCTAATTCACCTTTCCTTTCTATCTGGAATGCTCCTACAGAACTTTGTACTGAAAGGACTGGAGTGCAGCTGGACATGAATTTTTTTCCTCTAATTGGAAGCACACTAAAGACATCCATTGGGCAAAACATCACTCTCTTCTATCCAGACAGGCTTGGCTACTATCCTTACAAAAATGAAGTCACAGGAGAGGCATTCAATGGAGGACTCCCACAACTCTCGCTGCTGGAGAATCATTTAAAAAAAGCCAAAGAGGACATCCAGTTCTACATTCCTTCAGATGAACAGCTTGGATTGGCTGTCATTGACTGGGAAAATTGGAGACCTGTGTGGATAAGGAACTGGGGATCAAAAGATATTTATAGACAGGAATCCATTGAGCTAGTTCAGCAGAGAGACCTCAGTCTATCCGAAACCGAAGCCAGAACTATAGCTAAAATGGAATTTGAATTTGCAGCAAAATCATTTATGTTGGAAACTTTGAAGCTGGGCATAGAAATGAAACCAAATCGCCTGTGGGGATTTTACCTTTATCCAGACTGTTATAACTATGATTACAAACAAAACCCACACAATTATACAGGAGCCTGTTTAGATATTGAAATAGAAAGAAATAATGAGCTTAACTGGTTGTGGGAGAAAAGCACAGCACTTTATCCATCTATCTATCTAGAGACAGCCTTAAAGTATTCCAGAAATGCTCAACTCTTTGTTCGCAACAGAGTTCAAGAAGCCATTAGAACTTCCTATGTCTCTAACTCTAGTCATCCCCTTCCAGTTTTTGTATATACACGTCCAGTGTTCACAGATGTCTATGAGGAATATCTCTCTGAGGTGAGTGAAGCAAGACCTTAAATAGTTCAAATTCATATGGCAAGAAATCACCAGGTGACACCTATTTAGCAAGTATACTAACTTGCATCAGAAAGAAGTGTGCAATTTTGTCTAAAAAAATTATATTAGTCCATCATAGAAATTTGACCAAACAAAACACTAACAGGTCTATTTTCAAACCTTTCTCATTATATTTATCAAATAGTGTTTTAATCTCTGAGTTGTCCTCACATGTAACAAAATATCACAAAACTAGAAAACATATTTAGCACACTTGGTCAGAGGAAAGAAATACAAGTAAAATCTTGCAAAGAGAATTAGTAATACTGGGCTCATCTACTGCCGGCTTTTTAGGTTATAAGAAAAAAAAAATCCAGTAAAATGGAGTCTTTCTTTCCTTAAAAAGTGTTTAAGGCTAGTGAAAAAAAATCTGTCCTTAGTTGTACTCCAGTAGCCTTTAAAATGGTATTTCAGCATGCCATGGATTAGTTAAGGTTAGGCTCTGATTGAAATCCAATCATCTTATTGCAGTTCTGGCTATACTTTTCCCTTCACATTTTTATAGACACCCACCCTGTCAGAGATACCACCACTCTGGGGAATCTCTTGCTGTTGTTCCAGCCCATGAGGAAGGAAAGTTAGACTCCTGGTGATGGCATTCTATCTGGTGTCCTCCCACATTCTGGACAGAGCATTAGCAAGTGTTCTCCCTAGCTCTGTGGATACCTTCAGGGAGCAAGGGGTGCTGTCAGGGGCCCTGATGGGATCCTAATTAATAACTGAAATCCTATAATCATTACATTAACTCTTGGTTTTTTTTTTTTTTGTTTTTTTGGTTTTTTTTTTTTTTTTTTTTTTTTTGTGTGTGTGTGTGTGTGTTGTGCCCTACAGTAACTTGCTTTTTTATTGTTTTTTCACTATCATAGTCCTCTCCCATCCCATATAGGCCTTAACATTTTGCTAGGACTGGGCTAATAGCTGACTCTAAGAGGAGAACTGAACTGAAAAAAATTTCCCAAATCAATGTCTGTAAAAGACCAGAGACATTCTCTGGAAAAGGGAGATTCCTACAGTTGAAAACTCTTTTCTCTTGTTACTTTATTGTTTCACCACTTTCTGGTGAAAGAAATTAAGTTTAAAAAAAAAAAAAAAAAAAGTTGTGCTTTCCAGTATTTTTATCCCACAGCATTACTGAAACCAGTTGTTACCAACTCTGAGTAGCCAGGAGGTAATGAAGCAAAATAAGCCATAACGTGGCTGGAGGAGTGTATGTCATATGCCTAAGCACTGTCTCAGTTTTGCAGCCTTTTTTAAACCAGATTATATACATAAAATGGATATTGTTGGAAACGTTTTTTGGTATCACCTCTGCAATCCAATTCCAGGATAAAATTGTGCAATTGAGAGCAGGACATTTGCATTGTGTATCATTGCTTCCTGTCTTCAAAGTAGTTATTTTGGATACATCATTTACTAGATGCATTTTTTCATTTGCCCTTATGTTATAGGTTACTTACATTTGCATGATTCTTTGCCTATTTTCCTTCAGGACGACCTGGTAAATACCATCGGAGAATCTGCTGCGCTGGGTGCTTCTGGAATTGTGATCTGGGGTGATATGAATTTAACACAAAATAAGGTATGCTTGATCAATTATTATATGAAATTTTAAAGGAGAAATAAAGTGAAAAGGGTGTAAAGCATTATGATCACTTATGTCTTCTGCTTTTAAAATGATGACTCCATATTGCCAGCAGCTTCTTGTAGTCAAAACCCAAGCATATCTGAGGCTTATTAAGGTCATCACTGGCTACGCAGAACAAGAGTTCAATCTTTCAGCGTCTCAGTTCTGTTGACTCCGGGTAACTGGACAAGTTACTGTGATAACCACAGGCAAGTTAACACTTGTTTAATTAGTACATAAAATAATTCCTATATCTTCATTTCATTTTAGCCATGAGGTAAATGTAGACTTGCCCCGAACAATTTTTAGAAGACCTTTCTGCTTTTTGGAGTGGTGAACTTGGCAGCAATGGGAGAAGTCAGTCTGTAAAAGTTCAGCCCTAGACTGTTCTGTGTATTGCAAATATGATGATTAATTTCATTGTATGAAACAGCTGAGTCAGAAGAAAAAAACTCTAGTTTGTTTTAGGAAGGGGAAATACATAGTTTGAGAACTCTTACAAGGATGTTCTCATAATTCTTTCCAGGTAGTTCATTCATAATCAGGCAAGTTAGATTTAACAAGCTATTATGGAAGACTCTTGTGAAGCCTTCTGAGTGCAATGAACCAAAATGTTTCATCTCTGCCAGATCTCCTGTCACAGAAAGCATGGCCAAATAGACCTCCACAGCTCTGTAAGATTATTATTCCCCAAAGCATCCCACCTTGACTTTTTTGTATGTGCCTGCCTTTGAGAAAGGATATCAGTTGCACCTGGAACTTTTCTGCCTATTATCTCAATATCAGAACATAGATGAGCAGCAACTTTTATTATCTTAATTTTGAGATACCTGTGAGAAAAAAGGAACTCACCAGCCCAGTCAGACTATGCATTTGTGCACTAATTGCACCTGTTTTTTTACAACTTTCACCGTCACTAGCATTTCAGCAATTAAATATTACTGTAAGCCTCACTTCTGCATCAACCAAATTTTCTATATATAATATAGAAATTATATATATTAGATATATATAATTTTTACATATACCTAAAAGAAAACCAAAAAACCCACATACATCTTAGATTCACCAAAGTGATCTCCATAGGTACAAACATTAGGCGTATCTACATGCGATATTGGGCAAATGCCCATAATGTCAGAAACAAAGAGAGAGCTCCCATACCTTCTGGTTATTAAACTGTGCCAAGAATGCACAGAACATATGCCAATTTCCTCATCAGTTAGAATGATCAATTGTCTTAGCATATCTTTAATTTGACCATCGAACCACAATTCTTTTCATTTAAAAATGCCATGAAAGGTCCCTACCCTGTAGCCAAGCTATTCAGGTCAGGGGAAAGCTGAAAAGTCTCAGAGACTACCTGATAGGAAAAGTGTTTGCTTAGACTGAAGAAGAGCAAGTTTCTTTCCCAGACGCATTCAAACTATTTAAGACTTAAAAAGGAACTTCAAGTCTTCATGAAACTTCTTTAAATACATCTGATTCAAAAAGCTACACGAACTATCGAGATGAAATGAAAGCTTAAAGACAATTGCTTTCTGATCTAACTGCTTTTTGTAACATCTCCAGCAACTACACAACATAAATTTGTTAAGATCCTCAAATTTTATAACAGCTTCTCAGATAAACTTGCTTCTAACAACAACTTATAGTTATTATCAAATCCTCAGGGGAAACATTTATAGATATGTACTGTGGTACTGTTATTAGAATGACAGCATTGTAATGGTTTCCATACTAAACTGTGGAGGTATAATGCTCTTTTCACAGAACACCTGTAGAACTCTGGACAACTACCTTAGGAGGACTTTGACTCCATACCTCATCAACGTCACAATGGCAGCCAGAATATGTAGCCAAGTGCTATGCCAAGACTCTGGTGCTTGTGCACGGAAAAAATGGAATTCCAGTGACTATCTTCACTTGAACCCTGAGAACATTGCAATTCAAATGACAAAGGATGGAAAATACACTTTACAAGGGCAGCCATCATATCAGGATCTGCAAACATTCATAGAAAAATTTGATTGCCATTGTTATGCAGGGCACAGCTGTGAACCTAGAGCTGATATAAATGACATCCATTACCTCCATACTTGCATTTCAGAAGATATTTGCATTCAGATATCCTCAAATTCACTTTCTAACATAGAAGCCTCTGAAGAAAAGATCCTGTCTAACAGAACTGCATTTTCATTTACCTCTGAGAGTAAGGTGACATTATCTACACATCCTGAAGTAGAAGATTTCCAATCTACCTTTGGAAATAATACACTTAATATAACAACTGCAGAATATAACACTGTTACAGCTGCCAATAGTTATGATTTAGAAGAGAATGATACTCGTACTTTCAGTCGTTCTTCATCCTATAAGATAAGGATGTTTAGTCTGTTTCACTTAATTCTCCTTTTAAGAACATTAATATAAATGATCCATGAAAGAGAGAATATAATTTTCCTTGACTATATTTGAAATTCTAAAGGTTTTTTTTACAAAACAAACAAACAAAATAATTCCTGAAAGGCTTATGGTCTTATCTGCATCAGGTAACCTTTTCTAATCCATAGGTACCACTTCAGCTTGAGTGTATTTCCTCAGTTTAGTTCTATAAACTACTATCTGTGCCAAAGAGATATTGGTCTATACACACTGCGCTATATGAGAGGACAATCCAGAATAAGAAATATTTTTACAGTTTACATTTTTAACCATTATATTTGGAAAAAAGTAATGTCTGACAATGCTCTTTTGTGTACTTCAAGTTAAGACAGTTAAATATATAATATATAAAATAAGTCATCAGGTTTGATGCTCTATGCAAGAATTAATTTCATTCCATATGAATGGAATTATCTCTTAAAATATTTGGCTTAACTTTAGATCTGTGGAGCTTTGCAGCATAAAATTTATCTGATTAATGTAATGCTCCTCCACTTTTCACAAAACCTTTAGGGATGCTGTAGTTTTCTTTTAATTAAGTTTATTTGTAATTCTTCAAAAGGTTCTAATTTCAGCATCAATGTTGACTTTCAATATTACAGCTTCATTATTTAAAATTTGAGCTGTAGCAGTTTATCCTTTCTTCTCACAAACCCTCCCCTTATTTCAGATATCCCTTTCTTGGCTTCCAGTTGTTTTGTCTTGCCAATACTCACAGCTCATCTACTCTGCCTGTGCATTCCATGCCAGCACAGGTCACCAGTGCTGGTTTCTCCATCCAGCCATCCCTAGGAACTGGATAGGGCTGTACGTGCCATTTGGACAAAAGTCTGTGCATGGGACTGTATGCCCTGTTATTCCTGAGGAAGCTCTTTGGTGAAAACCATTTTGCTGAAAACCCAGCAGTGGAGGCAGAAAGATAAGTGCCACTGGGGACCTGAGACAATCTCAGGACCACCTTTCTGATTCAGTTTGCTGACAGAACTGAAAGTGTTTGCTTAATACTATTCCAGTGCCAAAAGCAGTGTGAAAGTAGCAGAGATACCTCAGAAGAAAACTACTCCCAGTATCATATCAGGAGTCCAGTTATGATTAACATATAGTCAGTTTAAGCATTTAGAAGCAATTAGCTGCAGTTTATTTGATAAAATAACCTTTTCAAATTATTATGTCCAATGCTTAACAGACAGCTGGCCTTCTGATGGGTGAAGAGTGGCTGCTGGCATGTATACATTAAAAATCTCCCTAGAGCCAGGCATGATCTGCATAAATAATTCACCACCTCTCACAGATATAGCCTACCTCACTAATGAAAATAACCAGGACTTCAATATAGTGGCCATTTACTTATAAAAAGATCATTCCTTAATCTAGCAGAAAACACATATTATTATATCCATTTTCTTTTTGAATTTTCAGGTTGTTTGTCATAACAGAGATACAGAAAAATAGATGAAGCCTTTAGACTTAACATGGAGAAATAATGTTTTATGGCTTTTGAACAGCAAGTTATCAAGAGGAAGTAACAATTTTCTCATCCCAGTTACAGTGATAAGTCCACGAGTCAAAGCTGTTTCTGCCATTAATGTTTCAAGTGGAATCATGATTAAAAAAACATATATGCCGCAGACTGTTCAGCACAAAAGACTCAATCTGGTTTTGATCACCTGTGCAAAAACATGCTTTTTTTCAGTGCAGCTTTGATATTGATTATTTCATCTTGGGCAAAGAAGAGGCATGGTATCATAACTCCTGTATTTGAACTCCCTTCACGCTGTATTTGTGGTAACTATCAAATGGTTTCTAAAAACTGGAAACATCACTGGTAATGCTTTAGCAAAACTTGTATGACTTATATGAAATTCTATTTTTTTCACAACACTTTGACATGGCTAAACTGAAAGAAACTGGATTTGTGGCACTTCGTGGTAAGACAGCTTGCAGGTTCAAAAAGTCTGCAAGTCTTGCCATGAATACTTTTGACTATCAGCCAGCTAATAGCAAGCAGAACATTTGTGATAATTCAAGCAGGAAACCACCAAAAAAAAGGAGGAATGAGAGGATAAAATCACAGAAGAGTTGAAACAGAGTACCCAGGACCTCCCAATGGATGCAGAGGAAGTGAACTGCAGAAATGAAAGAGTGAAGCAGTAGGGAATGTGGACAGACCAGTCTCTTCCCATTCAGCATTTTTATCTACCTGTTACTTAATATTGACAACCTTTCCCCAAGGCTCACTGTAAAGATAAAGGAACACACTAACTGATATATTAGACCTATTCATCCAATTCCATACCTTTTTTTTCCCTTGAGAACAGCCAGGACCAGGAAAGTAAAAGGAAGATGAGAGGAAAGCAGTCTACTGCAATGAACTGTGCCATCCTAAGCTGCATGTGTAAGTAGCTACCTACCTTGTGCTCTGATGCACAATGCTTTGCCAACCACCTTTCAAATGTTCATTCAGGATTATTTATGTTACCTATGTGTATCTGCAATTCATGCTTTAAATCCTACAGACTTCAGGATTTAGTTCTGCTGTGTGTTAAATTACAGTATTTTCCAAATATATTCTTTTTCTCTTTTTCTCTTCTTATATTTGTCTTACCTATATTCTATGATAAAGAGTCACCATGGAGTCAGTCTCCACAGATTAAAGGAAAAAAGAAGGAGAGGGCTGCTATGCCTTGCATTGCTGGCGGCTGTCATATGTTCAACGCTTTATTTTTATTTATTTTCTCCTAAAGTGGACCCTTTTCCAACGAGATTTTCTTCTATTCACTGTAATGCCTGTAATCATAAGTTAGCCTTATAGTTTTAATTTCTTGCATTCTTGTAATTTTGAAAAGATTAAACACTAGAGGGACAGTTCACTTTGACTGCCATTCATTATTTTGTATTTCTCCTTTCTAGAGAAACCTCAGGCTGGCAATACTTAGGGACAGGGAAATGCAAAGTGGGTTTGATGAAAGGGTCTGTTTAAGTGAAAGCTGTTAAATACCCTGCTTCGATGTTCTGACATTATGCTAGAATTTTAATTGAAATTCTGCTTCTCTATCTGAATAATCTAGATCTAGTTTCTTGTGTTGCTTATTCTGGGACATACAAAGATATTTGTACTTCAAAGGGAGATGGCAACTGGCACTTAAAGAATCTGAACAGAATAAAAACATAGTCTAATCATCATCCTACAGGGTTTTTTGGGGTTTTTTTTGGTAAAAATGACAACATGGAGAGATGTTTTGAGAGGCCAGCAAGATCACTTTGTAAACTGCCTAGGATGTGACTAGAATCTTGAAGAGTTCAGCAAAATTTGCTTTATTCCCTGCATCACACTGGGATATCCTGCTGTAAATATATATACCATCAAAGAATTGTACAGAAGATTTCAGACCTGTGCAATATGTTCTAGACAACTTCCAGACAGATTAGATTTCTACATGTACCTATCCATCAGTTTTCAGTACAAACAACAAGACAGCAGAGACAGTTACATAATTTTAAAACACGCTCAGTTTTTAGCACTGATGACCTTTTCAAGATGACAACTAAATTCCATCCTTTAAGCATATGCACCTAAAACTTACTTGAAAGATTTTTTCACATTGTGCTTGTGCCAGCTCTTTTGCACTGGCAGATAGCCAGCAAAATTAGGGCCTGAGATTTCAAGTTGGAGTAATGAGTTTCATTAAAAAAAACACCAAAACATTGATACAAAAAACCCCATTTACTGTGTGTCTTTAAAAAATACTGCTTTGTTTAATGACTTCATCTTTCCTAAAGACTTTTTTTGTTGTTAGTTCTTGTAATTTTTTCTCCTGTGCTACTGAAAGTCACTGTATAGATGGCTGGAAACAGCTTCAAAAAGCGTACTAGTCTAACTTTATCCCTTACCACTTCTAAATGATTCCCAAAGTGTGGCTATCCCTGATCTTCCTGTCTGTTTTTCTGGAAGTATTTAATTGAATATTAATCCTGCTTCACAATATTTTTCATGATGATCATGATGATGATGTAAACACGCTGTATTCAAGATAAATTCTAAGCTTTTGTGTGTACCAGTCAAGTATCAGGGTCTTTACAGAATAGTTATTTCATGAAGCTGTTCCAATACTCTTGCAGCTACTCTCTTCACAGTCACTGATGCTCAGGACTGCAACAGTTTCCCACATTTGCTGTCCCCTTGTTATATATAAGAAAGTAAAGGGCAAGAATGTAAAGGGCACCTATCAATATTAACATCCTTAAGGGAATAAATTTAGATTTAATTATGTTCACTAATGTGTTACCACCATCTTGATATAATAATTGTAGTTCTCCTTGGTCAGTAGTAATTAAATTACATTTTTCAGCATATACTTGTATAAGGCTTAGTTTATAACTGATAAGAAATTTTACTGATTAGAAACCAGACACAAACAGACAGTATGAAATTTAATGTGGATTGTTACTTTATATATTCAACTGACATTTTGGCTCTGTGCACACAATTCCAGAGGGTGGTGTTAAGCACCATATCTATGTGGGCTCTAGACAATATGCAATCACCTGTCTCTGCCTTTGTTTTCATATCAGGAAATATATTTATTCAACAGAACTCTTCAGGATCCTGCAGAAGAAATACACCATATGTTAGCAGTCTCATGGACCACACTGCTCCCTCAGGCTGCTAGCAGGTTGAGACAAGAGACAGCTTGCCTGTGTCAAGTGATGATTTCCTGAGGCAGGGACAAAACAACCACCCGTTTAAAGGGAGGCTAAGGGCACCCTGCAGTCCCACAACAATAACATGGTTAATGTCACAACAGAGCACAAAGTACCTTATTGCTGAGGCAGCCAGTAATTAAGGGCACTGGACTAATAACAGATTTAGGCTGCCTGTAAATCCTATGTACTATTTCAGCATGAACTGCATATACCAAGTTTAGGCATCCAAATCACAGCATTTTTGAGTTAAAAACCTTAATCTGCCACTTCAACAGTCCTTACAGAAATCCTTCTTCACCTTTTCCCTCACCAGAGCATGGCGAGAATTTAGGGCACATACTAGAGCCTCCGGCACTGCAGCCAGCAGAGGGCACAGATGACACATGCAGACACGGCTGGGTATCTCACTAAGAAGTTCAACACGGTTTTCTGTTCCCTTCAGCAATGCAGCTGCTTGACTCTGGCCTACAAACAGAAAAGATGACTAGTCATTTCCTAATGTAGTGCCTCACTAGCAGAAAAAACTGATTCTACATGTTTTTTTCCCCAAAAATCTGGTATATCAGGAGAAACCTGAATATACCAGTGAGACATTACTTCTCATGCTCCCTTCTCTAGAGATTTAATTCAGCTGAAAGCTCCTTCTCATTAAGATCTGCCCAGGGAGGTGGCTGAATCACCATCCTTGGAAGCTTTCAAGAAACAACTAAATGTGGCACTTAGTGTTATGATCTAGTTTACAAGGTGGTGATCACTCAGTGGCTGGACTTGATGATCTTGGATGTCTTTTCCAATCATAATCTTTCTAAGATCTTCAGCTATCACTAAAATGCATGCTTAAAATATAGATAATGTGGTTGAATCTCTTTGGTAGTGCTTTGAACTACAAATCTGAGTCTCAGATACCTTGTTTCTCCTCAATTGTGAAAGATCCGGATATGCAGTGTGGTTGAAGTAATTTTGTTGACCCTGTGTTTATTGCATCCCTGCTATTGTCACCTGAAATGTAAGATACATTTTATAAATTTTTATAGCACAAATAAGTCTCTGCAAAGGAGTAAGCTGCTTTGCTATCCCTTCAGAGCACTTGGAAGACTCAACAAGCTGGGTGCTGCATGGTCCCATGACACTGCTAAACTGGTCCTGCAGTGTGTAAAACTCAGTAGAAAAGACAGAAGAGTAAAATACTTTAACAGTGGTTAAATGTTTCTCAGAAAGATTAAGTGGCTTGCCTGTCTACAGCCACAAAGGATAACAGGATCACTTTTAGTTATGAAAACAAATGTCCTCTGAGCTGCTAATTGTAGCAAGGCAGCAATATGTTTACATACAATAGTCTATTACCAAAGAGTCTGTAAAATAAAGAATGCCTTTTATAATCATATAGTTTTGCAAAAGATAAAACAGATTTTAGAACAATATAACAGAACTTTAAACTTGGACAAACCCCTGAGACACTATAAAATACTTGTCATTGTATAACTGAATTAATGATTTAGAATTTATCTGTGCACCTTCTGCCATTCATTTACAAGGATATGCCTGAAATGTAGTTTTTCAGACTGTTACTATATCTACAATGTATTGTTAAGTAAACCTCCAGCACTATTTTTAAGTATACTTTGAGCACTATGAGACTCAAGCACTACTTAAAAATTTAATATTTCTTGCAAAAACAGAGACTGCTCAATTTTATGTGAGTTGTCCCCCATGCCATAATCAGAACTGCTTCATTCCCAGAAATCACTCTCACAAATGGACTGCCTTTATTTTACACATCACCAGATGAGGGGAGGTGGGGGGAATTCTTATATTTTTCAGTTTTAAGGCAGCAGAAACATTTCACCTATTCACCCAAAATTCAGTAACTACTTTGGCCAAACAAGTTTTTAAAAACTGCAAGATACATAGCAGATAAATGAAAGTTTAGTGATTTACCTGTGAATTATTTCCCAACCAACATCCAACCAGAATAAATCACTTCACCAACTTTTCCACTCATTTCCCCAGTGATTTCCCCATTTAGTTGCAGTGTAAATGGAAAAAACTGGCTGAAACATTTGTGACTGCTGGTGAGGATGAACCTACGTACGGAGCAGCCATCTGGCTGCTGCCCAGAGACAAGTAAACCAGCAGAGTTCTGCTGTGCTCTCCCTCTGTGCAGGATCTAACCTGGTTCTTTTCACTCTGCCACCAATTTTCAAGCAACTTCAAGAGCTATATCATGCTTTGAAACTGACAAAGACACGATAAGAGTCACAGTTTTAAGAGTGGCATTCAAATTTCTGACACCACCCAAAACACCAATGCTAGAGAACAGCATTAGGAGAACTGGACTTCCTGTAGCCAGAACAAAACCTGACGCTACTGGGGAAGGAAAAAAAAACCCAACAATAATAAAAAGAAGCAGCCTCTTTTGATTGCTTGAGACTTGACACTGAATACAAAATCTGGACTAAAGCAATCAGATGTAAGAGAAGCAATGAAAAATTATTCCCCAACACTACCATTGGGTGGCAGGGCCAGCTCCAGTGCCCAATTTAATTTTGGAAATGTGCAATTAAATTTACAAGAGTAATAACTCAGTACTTTAAGAATTACACTACAAGTCATTTTGACTGTATCTAAAACCAGGGCATGAAAAACTTTTAAGTTTTTCACCTCTACAACTAGCCCACAACCAACTGCTCTTGGGAGCTTCAAGATTGTGGTCCAACTGGCATAACCAGTGAAGTTTTGCCACAAACTGCATCCTCTAGATTGCTGAATTATGACTCTAAAAAGACCAAGAAAACCAAATTTCAAAATGCTTTGATGATTGTGCCAGGTTTCAATAGAAAAGGTATCCACAGGAAAGGTGTATATGCCTTTACACCTGTATGAATGTCCTTTTCAACCAATACCACCAGCACTGCAACCTTTCCAGAGCATCACATTTCAGTTGCAAATTCTGTGACTGGCAGATGGATCCAGAAGTGTTAGCCCTGTGTGTATGGGTAAAACAAGCCTTTCTCTAATGCTCTATGGCAAGACTATACTGAATATCGTTTATTTGGTGCAGGCAGAATATTCTTGGTGAAGTGGCATGTCTCATCATTGATCACAACACAAAACCACCATCACAAGCATCTCTTGAGGCAAGGAGTCATACTACGGGTGATTTTCCAAAACTTATCACAGGAGAAAAATAAAAATAAAAAATAAAACCATGGTATGTCCTGGATCTGGAAGCCTGTCACTACACAGTGAAGAATTCAAGCAGAGTTTCCGGGGAACAGTGGAGGTCCTAGCCTGGAACTGCCACCACCAGACGTGATGAATGCACAAAATCGATGCTGTCACGCAGCCCAAGCCCACCAACTCTCCTAAGGCAGCGCTGCCAGCGCGGCCTCGGCCCCCCTTCGCTGCGTGGGGGATGCTGCAAAGCCCGCCCACGGCAGCAGGACCGCGCCGGGCCGTGCCATCCTTTCACACCCAGGGAGCAGCTGTTCCCGCAGCGGATCCCCGCGGTGTCCGGAGCCGCCCTGCCCCTCCCGCTCCCGCCCCGCGCCTGCATCCCCTCACTAGGCACTCAGGGCCGCCCGCCCCGGCCAGTGCCGGCCGCTCCCCGCCCGGCCCGGCCCGGCCCCCCGATCCCCGCCTCGCCTCGCCTCAGCTCGCCTCGGCTCCTCCGGCGCTCCCATGCCCAGCAGCGAAGCGGTGCCGCTGGGGCTGGGCGCCTGCCGCAGGTCGGGGGCGCTGGGCGGGATGCTGTCGCTGGTGGCGCGGCTGCTGGAGTGGCTGCGCTCGCTGTTCTGGAAGGAGGAGATGGAGCTCACGCTGGTGGGGCTGCAGTACTCGGGCAAGACCACGCTGCTCACCGTGCTGGCGGTACGCGGCCCCCGGCCCGGGGCAGGGCGGTGCGGTCCGGTGTGGAGCCCACCGGCGGGCAGGGCCGCGGGGCTGCGGCGGGAGCGGCCGGCCGCCCGGCGGGGCTGGAGGGGCCGCCCGCCCGCCCGGGGCCGCCGCCCCGCCGCCTTTCCCCCGGCAACAAGTGCGGGCTTTGCTGCTGCGGTGATGCCACCGCCTGCCGTGAGGTCCCGCTGCGATGCGGAGGGATGCGGAGGGAGGTGGGGACGAAGCGGGGCCGGGCGGGAGAGAGCATGAGGCAGCTTTTGCATCGTTTGCAACCTCGAGAATTTCACAGCAGGAAGCTAAGGTGTGTGTGAGTGTTTTCAGAGGGAGGAGGAAGCTGGGTCTGGCTGCGAATTGTGCCCATCTTGGAGCAGATTCGTGGGCACGGGCTCTTGCCGTGGTTCAGGCTGGCTTTCCATGTTCCGTGTATCCCAGAATAATACGCCGTGCGTCCCTGAAGGCCGCGAGTTGTCCGTTACTGAATTCTCTCCTCCCAGCAGTTGCAGCAGTACTAATGCCTCCCACAAATCCTCGATACTTCTTCCCCAGCATTCAAGTCTGATTCCAGCATTCTGTTCCCCCTCTGATGATGGCCTTGCAGCCTCTCTAATGCTGACACCTACCACGACATTTTCTCTTTTGTCACCATGCTAAAATACATTTCTCCTCTTTGTTTGCTGTGCCCTCCAAACTGCATTTGGGTCCGTCCCAAAGATTTGCTTTCCATCAGAGGATGGAAATAAATATGTATGTATGTTATATTTGCTTATCATGAAGCTTAGTGAAGCATTTCTGCAAGGCGGTGTCTCTTGTGAGGTGTATCGCAGCTTCAGCTACTGAGATGAAAATTTCTAGATGTTCTTCAGTCCTTATCATGGAAAGCTAAAAACCAGACTGGGAGGTGCATGGTTTAAAGTCAGAGAGATTGAGTCAATGAAAACCTGAGTATATGACATTTGTTACTTGCTTTTGTGTATGATTATGGATTAAGGGAAAAATAAGAGACTATGCATTCTTGTGAATGAAGAAGTGGGGAGAGAGCAGGAGAAAAAAGAATGGCAAGTGCTCAGTGAAAGTATGTTTTGGGTAACATCAGCAATCAGTGGAATACACCTGTAGCTGATACTTTAGTTGGTTTGTCAGGCACTCAGGTAATCTTGTTGAGAGAGGCCTCAGTGCATTTTACGCCCATTGGAAGTGTTCATTTCCCAAGAAATTCCTTGCTGAGGAATGGGAAAAGGGCATGACAAATTACATTGCTTCGTGGATTGTTTTCATGAACAGAGCAAAGAAGAACACAGCATTTCAGAGACCTCAGTAGTGTGCGGTGCCAGACTTTGTAACTGTCCACTCCCTTGTACTGTTCCACCAATGGAATGGCACCGTAGGTGTTTGTCTCTGGGATGTTCTTTTCAACACCAGAGCACTCTTGTTACTGCAGGTCTGATTTTCCCTGAAAATATTATTTCTTAAGAGTATTCTACAAGGCATTCATGTTTTGTGACTTAGGGAGGGTCACACATTGCAGGTTTTGTAGATTTTGGATCCTCCAGTCTGGAGATGATGTGCCATGATAATCACCAAAGAAAAGTGGTTGGAGAATTTTGAAAAAAAAATTAGGATAAGGCTAACTAATGTTGTACATAATAACTATATATTTAATAACTATAAACTAATAAACTTATATTCATATTAATAATAGTTTTCTCTTGAATACCGTTGATATGTGAAGGGCAAACAGACTGGGAACACTGAATACGTGGCTAGAGTGTGATGATGAAAATAGCTGTTGCAAAATAGTGGCTACTTAAAATGCAAGCTACACTGGATAGAGAAAAAACATTGGAAATTACAATTTTTTTCATATTGCAAGAGCACTCAAAGATCCTATCATGCTAAGACTGAATATACACCCTTTGAGACAGTCTCTGCTCTTCAGAGTTTGAGCCATATTTAGTCCTTAGTTACCAACGGAAACCTTGGATAAAGTCACTGCCTTATACTGTGAATGTGCATTGATATAATAGAGTAGAATCTGGTCTGTGGTTGTCAATATGGTAGGGGGTAATTACAGTGTTCATTATCAATTCAATATTCAGAAACTTTTAGAGGACATTACAAACTTCTTTGCATCAGTTCTTTTTCATTTGTGTCAGGAGGTAATCTGTTTTTTATTGAAATAGACAATAAAATTTTTTGCACTTCTTAAATATTCACAAAAATAGGCAATTTTAGGTCATGTAAACCTTCCTTAGCAAGCACAGTAGTACAGACTTTTTACTTTATGGTGGTCAGGTCATTACAACACAGTAAATAGCTCTTGGACTAACATGTAGTCCAAGAATGGACTAGACGTTAGTCCAAGAGTTGAAGCTATTCCGTTCTTTTCTCCACTATGTGGGAAAATAAAAAAAACTGTAGACATAATATTTTCTTTGTATCTGATTCCATTCAACCAGAATGTGGAATTTTTAGAGGAATAAACTGAAGACCAATGAAGAGGATGATAATTCTTTACATTCTATCCGCAGTACTAGAAGAGTTATGGTGGTTTGGTTTCTTTATTTATTTTTTGTCTTCCAGTTTAGCATATTACATGTGATGTATAATTTGCTGACAAAAGTAGAATTCTGACTTTTTACAGCCCCTTGAGTCAGCTGGCTGGTTTTCCAGGCATTCTTGTCCTTGAGTAATGATGCTACATTTTCAGTGTTTGTGTTCATGTGTGTTTATATATCAGTCCTCCACGAATATAGGTACTACATATTTTTTAAAAAATCACATAATTATAGAATCATTAAGATTGGAAGAGAACTCAAACATCATAAAGTCCAACATTTGACCAAACACCACCCTGTCAACTAAGCCGTAGCACAAAGTGCCACATCCAGTCCATTCTTGAATGCTTCCAGGGATGGTGACCACCATTTTCCTGGGCAGACCAGGATACACAAGAGGGTTTGCTGGTTGGGTTTGTCTTACTACATCCAGCTAAAAACTTCTGTCAGTGCGGGGTATGTATATCTGTATGAAACTGCAGGGGCTTTTGTTTTCACTTTTTTTCCTATTGCTGTTGAAAAGTTACTGAAGCAGGGAAGAAAAAAAAAAGGCAAAAGATGTATAGTACAGAATTTAGCAAGAAGATTCCCGTAAGTAAGGTTGAGCAAACAACTGATGGAAGTTGTTTCTTTCTTGATGGATCTAATTCAAGAACTTGTGAGACAATCATGTAACTCAAAAGTTATACAGCTTTTAAAGCCCCTGATTAAAAACTGTTAACCTTTAACTGTAAATGCAAACTGGTGGCAGAGTGTGTTCTCACTCCACCACAAACAGGAAAGAGAGAAGTTTCAAAAATTGTACAGGTCCCAGGAATAGCTGTGGAAGGAAGACGGAGAGACACTTTGCTGTTCCAGTGCACCCTCAAGCTCTGATCCTCCATTTCTCAGATAAGAGGGAACTGATGGAACATGACTGCATCCTGCCTTGTCCATATACCCATATTTTCGTCCAAAAAAACCCAGACAACCTGGGGCGCATCAGTTTGTAGGTAACTATAGGCAGATAGATGCGGAAGGGCAGTAGCAGGCCCAGAAGGTGATGCGTTCCTTGCTGGATGATTGGAAAACCAGGAATGCTGTGTGCTGTTTCAGAGAGCACCTGGGCCTCTGTATGGACATAAGTAATGGACTGCCTGTGTTACTGTATCATGTCCAGGAGACACAATAGCTTGTTAATGATTCATTTTCAAAGGGAAGAATGAGTGATGAGTTTCCTACTCAGATCTGAGTTCTCTCTTTATCCTCAAAAGGTGTCTTCTGTAGTGTGTAGAAGTCTGTAAGATTCCCATTGGTTTGATGAGAAGTGTCTCTATTGTGAAAATATTTCTCTGAACTGGGGGAGGAGGAAGCACTTTTGTGCTGGGGGTTTGTGTTTGGTGTTTATGGTACACTTCAGTTAGCACCTTGTACTTCTCTGTCTTAATTGCATTCTCTTAGCTCCGCAGCATGATTCCTCTGCTGTCACATACACAGAAGGAGCAAGTCCGCACATAGTTCTCTCTGCATGGGAAGTCTTTCACTGTTTTTATATTTGGAGTTAAACTACTGATAACAGGAGAGCGAAGCTACAGGAAAAATCATGCTGTAGCCAGTTTTATAATACTTTATCATATTTAGGTTAGAACTAGGTGACCTTTGAAGGTTTCTTTCATCTCAAATCATCTACAGTTCTGTATTTTGGCTTTGCTGACAAAGGATCAGATAAAGAATTGTCTGAAGTCTCGTGGTTTCTGGGGTGATCTTTGTTGCTGAAGAGAATAAAAGATCGTTTAAAGGGACTGAAATGAACAGTCTTCCATGATGTGACAATGCAGTAATTGAAGTGCTGGCCAGTGCTCTTGCTGAATATGAATGTGATAATTTACAGTATTGTAAAATAACACTTTTTAGATTGAAAATGAGAACCTTTCTTGTACGTATCAACTGTTTTATAATAAATATAATTTTGATTTTATATTCTAGTCGGGGCAGTTCACAGAAGATATGATTCCTACAGTAGGCTTCAATATGAGAAAAATTACAAAAGGCAATGTTACCATAAAGGTAGGTATGCATGTTTGAATTGATACAGAATTAATAAATAATAGAGTAATTTCAACTGGAAATATGAAAGACAGGAAATTTCTTTTAAGATTATAGGGTCCCTTATCTGTTTTTCTAGCTCCACGCTAACTTTTTTTTAAAGCAATAGTAATATATTTCTCTGTTATATTAATCTGTTTGATTTCATTGTATTCCATGCCAGGCAGAAGCTTTGTTGCACTTTTTTGATTTAGGAAGGTCATAAAATGTGGGGATACTGAGGTCACTGAGTTGGAGTGTATCTGTCTTCTCTCTTCCCCTTCACCCGTCCTCCCACCTGTGAGTGAAATCTGGAGCAACTTGACTCCTGACTTGGGTATCTCAGTGGAGAGTGTGGTTTAGCTCACACATTAGCTATGCTGACACAGAACATCTAGTTTAATTCAGTTATCAGAGAGCCATCTCTTACAGCTGTAGAGACACACAGGCATCAAAATAGAGATAAATCACTCTGGTAGCATTAAGGCACTGTGTGTTGTTTGATTATGAAGGGAGCTTGGTTGATTAGTCTTGATGAAATTCACAACTTCTAGCTAAATCAAAGGAATCTAGATTTTTGTCTTTGTCTTGACTTTTCCCTCCTTTTCCATAATATGTAAGTTCTTTTCTCCCTCAGTTCTATAGTTACTCTTCCTCTGGTTTGGTATGACTCCTAAACCACTGATGAAATTCCAGACGTGCCACAGTCAATAAAAAATTACTGCATTCAACCATAATTGACAAATAATCCACAGGAACAGGAATTTTCTGTGTTTTTTTTTTTTCTTTTGCACAGAAGCAATGAGGCCATGATTGATAGAGAGAAAACACAGGCATAGTTGAAGGGGTGTACCGATGCTGCTGCAGAATTGCCAGATGTAGAAGAAAATAGAAAAGTTGTTGATGGTTCATTAAACTAGGCAAAAATCTTTTACTAGTAAGCAGTCGTCAAGATAAAGTATTTTTTTGAGCCAGGATAGTTCAAGAAGGAGCTGACCAGGGTTGTCTGAGCAAATGATGTTGCAAGATTAAGTTGTGCAGAGAGGGTGTGGGTAAGTTGCTGTGGAACTGTGCCTTGTTTTACTCTTCAAGCTCAAAAGTAATTATATATATAGTTGCTGTAATAGAATTTTTAAGAGTAAGGAGATAATGCTAACATAATTAATTATGTTTATTAGTTTCAAAAACCATACTTAATTTGGAAGCCAGTCTGCATAGTCTGTATCTTGACTGCACAGTCTGTATCTTGTCTGCACAGTCTGTATCTTAACTCATTCTCACAGTCTCTCTGCTACAACAGCATTCAGTGCAAGGAATGGGTAATATGACTCTTAGATGCTTATTTCCTTAAGAGTTTGTCAGGATAAACTACTTGAATGCCACTATTCCTCTATCTAGGTAGGTTATTGCTTGATAAGTTTTCCAAAATTATTTTACTTTGAGAAAAATAACATAATCTTTTAATAAGTTGACGACTCAAGAATGATGAGCCAGAGCCTCTTGCTAGAAACCTTTTATGAGCTATACAAAACAGGTAACCCTTCTCATAGAAATATTATGATACTCAACTGTCAGCTATTAAAATTAGTGGATAAAGTGTTATTTTACTAAACCCATGAAGTTCTTTAAACATGACAGGAATGATGTTTATGCTAAGCAAAAACCTGACATTGTGTCTGACCTCTTTTGAAGGTTTCAGGGGACACTGCAAAACAGAATCAATTAAACTTACTATAAAGTTGAGGCTGAGAAGTCATCTGGGTCAAAAAGTCATCAAGTGAAAAATTTGCATTCTAGAAGTATTAAGATTGATCACTTTTGGAAAAGTAAATTGCAAACCCAGCAATTAGGTGATACTAATCCTTTATCTGTTTTTTGCTCTGTTTTGAGGTAGGCCACTAAGAAGGAAGTACTATTTTAGTGCAATGTCACTGCCTGGTTTCTTTACTTCAGTTCCATCTGCAGATTTCATACAATTCCAGAAGGCAGAAGGAACTGAAACTCATGGTCTTCTTTCCTTTCTTCTGATTTTGGCAGTCATTTCCAAAAGCTGGTAGATTTATTTTCATTTTTAGTCTGCAATATTAATGTGTAAATGTATGGTCACTGGCATGCATGTGTATATGCATATTTATCTGAACCACACTGAAAGAAAAACACTGATTATTTACTCAAGCCAGAACATTTTGTAGTAAGATCCCAGTTTCAGATGTTCTTGAATTGAAGTTAAACCTGTTTAGAAATGTAAGGCTGTCCGCTTTAACCATGAATTATCAAATTCTGACTTATCAATATGTTTAATAACTGGTCACCTGTTATTTCCAAGAAGAGAAGGCAGTAAAGGAAGGATTTTACCACACAGTGTTTGAAATCTAAGCAAGGAGCTTTATATTTTGAGGTTGTGGTTGAGGTATTCAAGTACAGGATGATTTCTAGCATCAAAGTATTTTATGAACTACAGTGTAGGGATCTGCTAGAACTATTCTATTTGCTAGAACTAGAAGTCCATTACAAAACCGATGGCTATCTTTTTTTTCCCCTGCCAAAAATATCTGACTGAATTGAGATTTTAATTCCAAGCAAGTTTTGCTGCTTGGTGAGTAATTTGATTTTCACAGTTTTCCACTTTTTGGATCTGCTTAGTATTAGCAGTCCTTTTGCTTAAGTGAGATTTACCGTTCAACAAGCTAGACAGCAATTAATAAAATTTACTTTAACAAGCCAAGTTTCAAGAATCTCAGAAGACTTGAATCGTGAACTGCTATTTAAAGTGATTGGGAACCTCCAGCTAAGTAACCTTTGGTTCTTGCAGTGCTGGTCTTAGAACAGTCTCAGTTAAAAGGAAATAGAGCACCCACAGGCATGTGTACACAGAGATAATGCCACAGATTCATTTCCCTTCCTCTTGCATTTGTTTTTCTTAAAATAGCATGGCCAGGCAGATTCTGCACTTCCCGGCCATAGTGGTCCGGAGGGAGTGGAGAGCACATGCTCAGGGACTGGAGCTGGCGGAGTGGGCTGTGGTCACCCCGGCTGTCACCGCTAGATGCCGGTGTCCCTCCACCACACCCTGCACAGCCTGGCTGCGGGAGAGCAAGGCTGAGCTTCTTGCTGCTAGCACTTTGCTCTGATGTGGCAGAGAGGAAGAGAAGGATGTGCGTTCCTCTGCCAGCTTCCTTTGTTGCAGCACTCCTGCTCTGGACAGTAGTGTTTTTAGGTCTCTATGCATCCTCGTAGAAGCAGAATCCTCCTGCTTTGTAATGCTTCCTCCTGCTATTCAGGTTATCTTACCTGTCATATTGTCATTTCAAATGTCATGCAGTAATACAAGCCTGTGTGTGTGCTCAGACTGGAGCAGTGTTTCAGCACTTCCTGGCTATTCTATATGACTTGGATCACTCTGAAGAAGCTGTGCTGTGTCTGGCCTCATTTCAAGTCAAAGTGGTTATTTCTGTAAAAAAAAATACTTTTTTCTGGATGTCCCAGTGTTTAATGGTAGTTGTCTCTAAGGAAGAGCTGTACTGGTGGTTCAGAAGGGCTGTGATCCACAGCAGGAAGCCCTGTTACTAGTGCTAAATCCCAGGGGTGGTTTAGTGTGTTCATTAGTGACCTGGGTGGTGGGACAGAGTGCACTTTCAACAAGTTTGCTGGTAGTACAAAACTGGGAAGAGTGGCTGGTGCAGCAGAGGGTTCTGCTGCCATCCAGAAGGACCTTGACAGGCTAGAGAAATGTACTGGTAGGACACTTAGGAAGTTAAAGAAGTACAAGGACTTCGCTTTTGTGTTTAAAATCCACCTGTTGATCCTTCTAGCATTGTATTTTTTGTCTCTGATAAAATGGCAAATAGCCCCTGATCACTTGGAAGTACTTCCTCCCATTAAAATGCCTCTGTGCTTGTCAAGAGTTGAAGATAATTTGTGAACATTAGTGTTGCAAGTCTATTTCCAGTTCTTCAGTGAAAATATTATGATTAAATTATGAACATTGAAATGTGCATATAGCTTTTTTATTTTGTCTGATGTGATTAAAATGCCTAAATGTTATGTTTAAAAGTTGGACTTCATCACCAGTGAGGAGGGAGAACAGAGTTCTTTAAAGGGCCAAGACTGATTTCAAAGAACATACTGTTCTGAGAAATAATACCTGCAGAAAATGTAACCATGCTGCGCTTTTTTTTTTTTTTACTCTAAGAGAAACTATGAAGGCATTTCCAATATATATAATAATAATTAGTAAGTATTCTAAAGTAGTTAGATATTCTAACTTCCATATTAAGTTACATGGCTGGTAGGTACTACAGGTCAGGCTGTGTAGATTTGTATATACAGGACAATTTATTAAAAAGTTTATTAGGTTTTTTATTCTTCTGTTTATTAGGCAAAAAAAGATGGATATTTTTGATTGAAGATTCCAGTCTAGAATAGGTGATTGTTTAGGATGTGTTCCTCATGATCTTAGCCATGTGGTGAGTAACCCAGTCTGAGCCAGTTGTCTGATCTTGCTGGGGAGCAGTGGGTGCTTTGCAAGAATGCTTCACCAGGTAGGCAAGGTGGGTGAAAGAAACAGAGCAATTTCATGCTGTTGGTGCCCTTTGAGCTCTTCAGTAGCCAAAGAGAAATTTTGGCCACCTGGATTAAAGGCCTAAATTTGAGGTGATTGAAGTTGTCCCATGCTTTCCAGTTGCTCCCTATTACACGCTGAGTTGTCTGTCAATGCGATGACTGCTCTGTGTGTGTGAGCTCATTGGTCACATCTTACACTTCTCTGAGTACACTGTGGTGGTGGATGTTACTGGTGCTGCTTTATTCTGTCCAAATACTGCTCTCTGCTTAACAAATTCCTCAACTGTTCATGTAGGTTAGGTTTTATGGATAATACTTTCTGCTTCCAAGAGGAAAGATACATTTCTGAGTTCCAGTATTTTTAGTGTTGGATTCATCTTGCAGGTTAAGATGTCTGCATGTAAACAGCTATATGAATGCAGTGAGGCTTAAGCTCTTTTAATAATAGTCAGAGGAGCTGTAGTCAGTGCCGTCAAGCCTACAGCTTAATTCTGTCATACTAAACAAGATGTTACATCTGATCAGCTGAAAGGCTGTCTAGACTTGCTGACTACTGTGAGATTGTAGGTACTGAACCCACACACTGACAGCAAGATAGAAATTTGTCATTGTATTCTCTGTCCACAAGAAATCTCCTACACAGCATATCTGAAAAAAGCCATGTAACACGACATCTAGAAAACACTTTTCCTGCAACTTTCTCATGAACCATCAAGCCTTCCCACAATATGAGCCAATTTGAAGAAGCACAGCTAGAGTGTTAATGAACTTTCCTGTAACTGAAAGCTTTAAAAAATCTTTGAACCTATTCATGTGCATTTTTGCTCAACTGTCATGATAGAGCACTGTGCAAAAGAAAAGGATCTGCTCCTTAAACACAGCTAATAGCTAATAGTGGTCTTAAGATGGAACCTTAGATCCTTCTGAAAAAATTGGAAAGAGATAAATCCAAAGTTTCCTGTTTTAGAAGAATTCAATATATCTCAGGTAAGTACATGGTAAACAGTGGTTCCATCCTGGTGATCTAGTTTACAGATTAAAACATTGCCCTAATTAATGACAGTGTAGACCTGCAAGCACAATAAGAGTTACTACACTATAGAAGTAGATAGGAATGAATAAAACAGATTAAAATGCAGTACCAGTAAGATACTTGTCTTTGAGATTGAGCCTGAGCAACAAATCCTTGAGATATTAATCTCCTGTGAGGCAGTGGTACCAGGTATCAAAGAAACTTTCTCTCAGTTTAGTCATTCTGTAATCTTTTGCTGATTCTTAAAATCACAATTGTATCAATTGGGGTAAAATTACCTTTTAAATATTATGAAACTTTTATTCCTGAGGGGCCATTAAAAGCCATGGGAGAAATTTGAAGACTAGCCTCTTTTTAAAAACAACCAGACCAAGTAAACTTCTTTTTATAGCTAGCTGTATGTTCAGCTGTTAAGGTTTAGTCTCCTGCCTATCCCCATCCATACGCAGAACATTTAACCTGTGTATTAAATACTGGGATGCAAAAATAGTTGATATACAAAACATGCAAGACTCATGCAAGAGAAGTTCTTTAACACTTAGACCTCTCCCCTTTTTTTCCTGGGTACCTCTTGTATTCTCACTGTTCTGTCTGTTCATTTGTGTACTGTGAAAATGGTTTGGTGCAGCAATTTGTGTTTTGAATTAAGTAGTTAACTCTTTCATTGGCTATTCAATGTAATAAAGAGTATTAGAAAGTTATTATTGAAACCATTTTGATTTCAGGAAAGAGGTAAGGATTTTTTAAATTTAATGCATTTTTTTCATATGTCACAGAATTATTACTATATTGATGTAAAATTGGTTCTAAAGCTCTTTTAAAAATACCTAGTCTATATGGTGCCCTTCATGTTGTACTTTAATGAATAGCTGTAAGCCTGATTAGGGAAACTGACTGGAAATGACTTATCTTTCCATTGTTTCAAGGTGACTTTTTCTCCTAATGAGAGTAATCTTGTTCTGCAGTGCAGTTTAATACTGCAAGATATCAGGCAAGGACAAACAGGATTTTTTATCTTCTGTTACTTATTTTGTGATTAGTCCATGCTACATCATCTTGTAAATTTTCATGGCTATCAGCATTCCAAAAATCTAACCTGACTACTAGCCTGCCCTATCATCTTTCCCTTTTCTTTTTCTTCCTCTGGTTTACCAAGAAGATAATATAGATTCTTTTTCAAGACACACAGATGTGCACCAGATGGCTTTGGATAGTTTCAAGGTCTTGATGAGTTATTGGAGTAATTAGTGTTGGTGTAAGTTTTGTCACCTAACCATAAAGCTGAATACTCATTACATTCAAGCTTTTAAAGTGTAAAGGTTTATTTTACTAAGACCTTTGATACAGCGCTTCAAAAGTCAGTACAGATATTAATTGATACCCACTTCATGGTCAGAAGCTCTTTCATGTGTAAAATTTTTTGATCTTATTCAGGGTATCAAAAAGCACTCTACATTTAGGTGATACAATAATTTTATGTTGGAAGGAGTGTTAAGATATCAATCGGGATGATTTTTAATGGTGAATTGCGAAATACTTCTTTCTAAAATACGAATATAAGATATTGAAAATGATATAGAAATTGATACATAAAAATGATTTGCAGGCTGTGAAATTATAAAATAGTGGACATTAATTGAAAAAGGCCTTATCCCATGGGTCTGTGAAGCCTTGCTCTTTAGTGAAAAGCTTTGTTGCCATAGAAGGCTCAATTTGGATTTACAGTGTAATTATGAGGACGACTCTTAAAAAAATTTGTTGCTGTGTATATATTACTTCCAAATTTAGTTTCTTCTGTAATATATATGCCTCCTAGATCTGGTATACAGTATATATTGTTTTGATAGCTAAATCTGCTTAAAATAAGAAATAATTACTTGTCTTTGTCCTTGGCAGAGGAACAAATCCATTACTTTTATTTTTCAGTGTTCATCACTCTTAATCTGTGTGTCACTTGTAACACAACTGTCTTTGGATGTAGCTGTAACAGATACATTATCTTGTAGCCCTGACCTGCATGATGTATATAGGTAACCTGGTACTTTGATCTGAGAAACAGTTTTGAAACAAGATACTGTCATCCACCAAAAATACCAATTTTTTTTGCAGGTAAAGCAGAATAGCTAACTCTATAGAAAAATAGCATGTTAATGTTTTAAAAAATTTAGGAATTCCATGGGGTTGCTGGGAATTAGTAGCATGTGTAAGTATTTATAGGATTTGAGCTTTTGTAATATAATAAGCGGAATTTGAGCTTTCTTTCTTCAAGAAACATTACTTAATCACTTCAGGTCTACCTATACTACTGTTTCCTTTCTGGTTCTGATTAATTAATCCATGTGTCTTTTAAAGCACATTTGTTGAACCAGTGGGAGAACTGTGGAGGTATTGGAGCTCCTTGGAGTGGGGAGTATCATCCCTTATGTGGATTCAGTCTGCTCTCTGATCAACTCTTTTTTTATTTACTATCTGTCTTTATCCTGTTGAAAATCTGATACCTTCTTAACTCAGGTCTCCCTAGCCACATTAAATATTAACCTGCATAACTGTTTTGTACAATGATAATACTCTTTTTTGTTTTGAGACTGTGCATTTGCAATAATTCACTTCAGTATCTGAGTAAGACTTTTCTTTCAGTGAGTGGGAAAGGGTAACATTCTGCAAAAGAGCATTTGGTGCTTTTAGTGTCACAGGCCTGACATATTCTCCTCCATTAACTAGAAGGGGCCAAGAAGACCTTTTAATAAAATTTTGGAATTGGCAATGCAGCCTGCATGCTGCATGTAAGAGTTAATTTATTCTGTTGGGTTAGGGCTATGTAGTTCAAAAGTATTTTGAGGCTGGAGTGTTCTTACCTTTTCAGGTGTGGGACATTGGAGGACAGCCAAGGTTTCGAAGCATGTGGGAGCGTTATTGCAGAGGGGTCAATGCAGTTGTGTAAGTTTTCTTTTGCATGTCCATAGAAAATGTACTTTGTAATATATATTACTATATAATTAGGTATTGCATTATATTATACATGAAGAAAATAGATTTTTTTTTTCTGCCCGCCTCCACCACATAAGAAGACCCAATACAATAAAAGTAGTGTGTTTTGCACATGCAGCAACCCAGACATATAAGTAATTGCATACTCCAGGCCATTTTTCCCCACAGGCTGTATTTAACAGCCCAAATCTCTTATCTTCTTATATCAATATCTTCCTATATCAATAAGTGCAGGGCTTGTAAAACTTCGGAGTTTTCTAATGCTCTTGTCAATATCAACATGTTTGTCACATTTCAGATGTTTTAATGCAAATTTCTGCAGGTAATGGTCAATACCATAAATAATTACTTTTTGTTGCAGTTACATGGTGGATGCAGCAGACTTAGAAAAAGTAGAAGCTTCAAAGAATGAGCTTCACAGTTTGATAGATAAGCCACAATTGCATGGAATTCCAGTAAGTATTTTCATTATTATTCTTGCCTGAGTGTTGACAGTGTGGCCTAAATCCTCCTGAGTTGGTTTCTCTGGTCTCTTAAAAATACTAAGTTATATATGATGCAGCCTTGATGCATTGAGCACTCTTAGAAAAATTACTGTGATTTTTTTTCATAGTACTCAGCATCTTAGGAGCGCTGCTTTCTGTTTGTACATTTTCTTGTCTAAAGGTCAGAAAAGATTTCGAAAAATTGTGTTTTCACATGTGGCATTTTCAGACAGTAATTACTTCCAGTCAGTCCCTTGTTGGCTGGGTTTCAGCCAGTGACCCAGGAATGTTTCTGGCAGTTATCTTACGGCATGTGAGATCAGTATTTCTGGAGGTGGGCAGACAGTAACATCAGGTAGTGTCCTCTGCCTCCAGAGATTGAGTAGGGGCTTTCTTTATTTGTCCTGACTTTTTCTTGACTTAGTATTTCAAACTAAATTGTGTGGAAAAAATGCAAATATGCATCTGTTCTCCAGTTGGAAGTGTCAAAGAATAGTGTATTCAGCTGAAATTCTAATGAGAAATACGAAGATGGAGACTTAATGTTGTTTATTTAAACGTAATCTGCCAATTTAGGAATCCATCAGGTTGTCACTGGTCTTTATGTTGATGTCACCAAACAAGAGTTCATACCTTGATTATAAGAAAGAAAACAGTCCTACATACAAATGAGGAAGAAGTTACAACTTGATGGCTCTTCCTTGGCCCCATTTTTTGTAAGCAGTAATTTAGACACTTGGCCACTACAGGTAATCAAAGTTACGTGAGGGTGAGTGGACACTGTAAGGACTTAAAGAATGCACTTGAAGTGTGTCAAAACACTGTCAAAGCCACAGAAGAAACTTCCCATAAGATATGCCACCGCAGCAGGAACTTGAGATAAGCACAGATGCCACAGCAGGCAGGAGCTAATTCCAGCCTAATGGAGCTGAAGGTTTAGTTAGCATCTGAACATGCTACATATCTGGATGTTGCCACCATGGCAAACTGTGGGAAAGGAAGTGTTTGTACACATGCCATCAGTTATGGGAATGGCATCTACACCCCATGGATACCTGGGACTTGGTCTGTATAAAAATGGTACCTCCAGCATGCGGTCAGTCTCCCTCTCTCTCTCCCTCCTTTCCTCCCACTATTCTCAAAGGAGAGTTTTTCAAGTGATTCACCATCTTTTTTATGAGGTTTGCTCTTTTTGTTGTGATTTTATATGTTAATTATCTGTTGAACAAATCCTACAGAAATCGACAGTTATGCTGTTCATGGGTAGTGACATTGCCTGTCCTATGCACTCTCTTTGCATGCTCTTTTGCTTCTCACTTTTCCTTGATATGATTGGTCTCATATCTTCAGTAGTATTTAATTAAGTTCCTTGCCTCTTATATGTTATAATATCACATTCCAAATGCCCAGGTTGACCCAAGCAGTAATTTCCAAGATGCAGTGACGTATTTTTTACTTACTTTTATTTCATATGTAGTAATTAGTATTGAACTTCCTTCAATTTATTGTACTCTGGATTTGGCAGTATAGATTTTAGAGCAGCTTTATTAATCTGGACTCTAAATTACTGCAAGTGATGAGTTTAATGTGTTCCAAATTCATGGGATATAGTGGGACAGTCTGAGAATTGTAGCACATCTGGAAAACAATAATGCAATTATAACTAGAAAAACCTTCCATTGCTTACTTTATGTTAGAATGTGCTCAACCCATTTATCTGACCTTCATTTATACTTGAAGCCTTAAATAGGAGCTCCGACATTCCAGCATCTATTCAGTAAATTTTCTGCATTTCTGGGACTTAATTCCTAATGGCTGCCTTTCAGATTTCTACCATGGTTGCTCAAATTGGACAGAGAGGTGGCTGGTGCTTAGGTGATACTTGGTTCAGAGGCTGAGCTGTTCAGTGCATCAGTGTTAAGAAACAAGGGAGCAAAAAAGCATAGAGAGAATTTTGTCTGGGTCTTTTGATTAACATGAGTCTGGTCCTCTGAGCTGAATATCCCTTGGTGGCCTGAGTGCGCCCAATGTGTGCTGTCTTCCACATTGCTTTGCATTTAATCTGACACCATCCTGTAATGCCACCCAGAATGGAGGGATTCACTTCCAGAGAAGACTTTTGATACTAACATGCCCAGAAATAATTTGATCCAGTTTTCAGAGGGTATGCATCTAGCATCTGGTCCTGACTAGGAGCAGGATTTCCATGATGTTCCCACAGTCACTGGTCATTTTGAATATGTCCTCTGTTACATTCTAAATAGCTGCAAGATCCAGAATAATGCCATCAAAAAGTTACAGAAAAAAATAAAATTTCATTGCTCCTGGATTTAATAGGTATATGAATGATTTCTTTCAGGTGTTAGTTCTTGGAAATAAACGAGACCTCCCAGGTGCACTGGATGAGAAGCAGTTAATTGAGAAATTGTAAGTAGCTGGCTTTTGTAAAATGCTGAGACACTGTGAAGTTTGATATGTAAGTCAAATGATTGGTAGTCTATGACAATAATTGGCTATAAAAGATGCTATTTTGCATTCTCAGATATTTCGCTTCAAGCTCTGCTGCTGCCTGATGTAGTGATCTAGGCTGATAACTGACCACAGTAGATTTGAATCTCTCTTGATTGTTCTTTCGTTGTGCGAAGTTATTTCAGATAATCCTCTTTTCCCATCACTGAGGAAAGAGCTGCTAGGGGTAGTGAAAGGGTCATTTTGACTTCTCGCAGTACAATGCAGTGTCAATTTAATGCTTGAATGGCATTAGAACAGAACCATATCAATCTAGTATTGGTAAATTTAGGCAAATCAAATGGTACTTTTGCCATATTTATGCCAAAGCATAACTTAGTTATTACGGAAACTAAGAGATGGATGCATAGTAAATGTAATTGTGAAGAAATACACAATTTTGTAAAAATTACCAGTATAACACTAATTTTGTAAAATAGGATTCACAAGTTACATAATTTTAATTAGTAGAAAGTGAAGTTTTGCTATAGTAAGGGTGGTCCAAAGACAGGGCTACTAACCAGGGCTCACAGAATGGCTGAGGTTGGAAGGAACCTTGAAGTCATCTACCTGCTTTTACAGAGACTTTTGCCCCTTGAAGCTGATTGCTCTGGACCATGTCCAGACAGCTTTTGAATGTCTCCGGGAAAAAAGACTTTGCAGCCTCTCTGGGCAGCCTTTGCTAGTGCTTGGTCACTCTCAGAGGTAAAAAGTGTTTCTGTGTGTTCAGAGACAGCTTCCTGTGTTTCAGTTCATGGCTCTTGTCCCATCACTGAGCTACATCTTCTTTACAGGCTCCCTTCAGAATTTTGTATATGTTAATAAGAAGTTCCTTAAGCCTTTTCTTCTCTAGGCTAAACTGTCCCAGCTCTTCAGCCTTTCTTAGTCTGTGAGTTGCTCATTATTTTAGTTGTTCTTTATTGGACCCTCTTCCATAGGTTCATATCCCTCTTGTACTGACGGTCCACAGCTGGTCAGGTGCAGCCTTACTGGTGCTGAGTAAAAGGGAAAGATCACCTTCAGCCTGCTGGCAGCACTCCTAATGCACCCCAGAATACCATTAGCATTTTTACCACACTGCTTGATCCTGTTCAACCTGGTCACCTGCCAAGACTCCCAGGTCCTTTTCTGCAAAGCTGCTTTTCCAGACAGTTGGCATCTGACATGTCCTGGTGCCTAGGGTTGTTTCTTCCCAGGTGCAGGACTTTGCACTTTCCTGTGCTGAACTGCATGAGGTCCCCTGCTAGCTCTTTTCTCCAGCTTGTGGAGGTCTTTCTGGGTGGCAGCATGACCCTCTGGTGTATCAGCCACTCCTCCCAGTTTTCTGTCATCAGCAAATTGTGCTTTGCCCCATCATTTGCAACAAATAAAGATGCAGAACAGGATTGGACCAGTATTGGTTCTGGTGTACGCTGGTAGTCGCTGAGTTCCAGCTTGCCTTCATGCCACTGATCACCCAGTGTTCAGCCTATCTTCAGTCCACCTTGCCACCTGTGCATCCAACCCATACTTCCTCACCTTGTCTGTGTGGATATTATGGAAGGCACTGTCAAAGCCATAATCAAGTCAAGGTGCACAATATCTGTTGCTCTCCTGTCATCTACCAAACTGTAGATTTCATTGTAGAAGGTTATTGAGTTGGTCAAACGTTATTTCCCTTGTGTGAATCCATGCTGACTACTCCTGGTTACCTTCTTGTCTATCACATGCCTGGGAATAGTTTCTAAGATTAGTTGCATGATCACCTTCCCAGGAATCAAGGTGGGGCTGACTGTCATGTACTTCCCTAGATCCTCCTTTTTCTGAAGAGTGATATTTACCTTCCTGTGCTCTTAGGCACCTCTCCCAGTCAACATGATTGTTCAAAGTGGCCTCACAATGACATCAGCCAGTTCCTTTATCACTTGTAGGTTCTTCCCACCAGGGCTGATGGACTTCTCCATATCAAGTCGGCTTATTTATTCCCTGATCAGATCCTCTTCCATCAAGGGTACCACTTCTTTGCTCTTAGTCATGATCTCTGGGGCCTGGGGTTTCTGAAGGCTAATATTGTTAGCAAAGGCAGCATTTTCATGTCCTGGGTAACCAGGTCCCATGTCTCATTGAGCAGTGGATGCACATTTTCTCCTATCTTCTATTTGTCACTTTCTAGTTATCTTCGACATCCCTCAGGAGATCCAACTTCAGCTGGGCCTTGGCTGACCTGCCAGTGTCTCTGCATTCTTGGACAATGTTTCTGTATTCCTCTCAGGCTACCTGTCTCTGCTTCAACCTTCTGTATGCTTCCTTTTAATTACTGGATTTTGCCAAGAGCTTATTGTTCATCTACTTAATGTATTTTGGCTTTTTTTCCAGGCTAGTTAGGATAGGTTATTCTTAGAATTTGGAGATGAACTTTGAATATTAACTGGCTTTCTTTAGCCCTTCTTTGCTACTGGGCCTAACTGCATGGGACTTTCCCAAGCAGATCCCTGAAGAGGCCAAGCCTGCTCTCCTGACATTCAGGGAGGTCCTTGTTTAGTTCTCTTCTTTACTGCCCTTGCATGGTCTTCGGACTTCTCAGTGCCTTTACTTCCCACCTGCTTCAGGAAATTTTTTGGTGCATGTCTGTGTCAATTGTGTGAGGATAAGTAAACGAAAAAACAACAAAGTGTTCAGGAGCTCTGAGGGGGTTGGAGAATTCACAGAAAGAAGTTGATTAAGGATCAGTTTCTTCCTAAATATAGAGGCATCCTTTCAGTAGGAGTCAGATGTGATATATTAAGTATGATATAGTAAACATCCTGAAGATAAATGGTGTGGTCATTTGAGCACTGATATTTTATTATGATTTACTTGATAAAAAAACTCAGAATTCTAAGTGAAAAGAGTAAAAGATAAATGATAAGACATGGGTAATACTTGGTTGCGACCACAGAACATTATTTTTAGCTTATGGATTTCTGTGGGTTTTTTTCTCACTAGTACACTGACCTAATAAGAAATTCAAATTTTTGTGAAATGACTTTATAACCTTTTAATCCTTATAGTTTAAGAAATGTGTGGTTTTCTGTGTGCAGTGGCATATTTTAAGAATTTAACATCTGAGAATAGAATTGAACCTACTGAGTAAAAAGCAGAAAACATCATTTAATGGAAATTTCTGTTCTGAGTGTTTATGGGGTTATAACAGTACTTACTGGTTTTGTTTCTGTAGAAACCTTGCAGCTATTCAAGACAGAGAAATCTGTTGCTATTCTATTTCCTGTAAAGAGAAGGATAACATAGGTAAGCAGCTTCTAGTGTCACCAGTGTATGGTTTGTACTTTGGATCAGATCAGGTTTGAACATCTATCTCCACTACATTATTGAACATCTCAATAGATTTCAATTTACATTGAATGACGCTTTGCAAATATTGTATGCCACTGTATTTGTTTCAACATAGAAATATGTCTAATTAAGAAAAAAACTTGTAGAAATATTTAGTTCCATGAGATGTTAATTTGACAGGGATCATGGAAAAGTCTATTTAAAGCCTGGAGTAATTGAATCCTTTACAAGAAACCTGTGTTACTTTGAAAAAAACCTGTGTTACTGAAAAAAACCTGTGTTACTGAAAAAAACAGTAGCTGTGTATGAAGGCCTTCCAGTTATTAGGTGATCCTAAAAAATGTTGATGATTTATTTCATACATGGTTTTATATGGTAAGCAGGTTTTATGAGCATGTGGCTGTTACTGGAACTGAGGGATGGGTGCTTTTTCCAAGTGGAAATGCAATGAGTGTATCCTGTAGTCAGTGAAGATCTATCCCCATGAACTTGTCTTCCATCTGCCTTTGCTTTTTGCCTTTTCTCTCTCTCCTATCTTGCACTTTCCTGTCCCTTTCCTCTGTCATTTTCTCCCACTCCCTTCCCTCCACAGGGCAGGAGGAAGGGATGAAGCCGGCAGCAGCAGCAGTTGTCTGGGGGCATGCTGCCTCTGTGCCACCCTTCTCTGCATGCTGCTGAAAGAAGTGGTGCTGGATGGGATGGGATCTAGCTTGGCTAGATATTTATAGCTGCTCTGTGAGGAAACCAGACTTGATAGAAGAGCTGGGCAGCTCTGTAGGGACTGTGAGAATGGGAATGGGAAGACAGCCACTTTCTCTCAGCAGCAGGGGAAATTTCCATCCTACACAGAGAGAACCAGGTAGTGGAGATGGTGTGGAGACTGTACTGTGGCACCTGGACTTCAGTGAGCTGGGGAAGAGTTCATCTGTGTGCAGAGATGTGTTAGGCAGCGAGGGCTTCTCCTGCAGGTGGTGTAGATGACTTGGGTGTATTAGTTAGAAGGAGACCAGACCCATGTTTGCTGTAGCTTGGGGTGCAGTTGTTACCTCTGAGTGAGGGAGATGCACAGAAGGTGCTGCTGCACTGGGGAAGATTCGACTTCAGGAGATAAGGAAGTGAATGTGATTGAGGTTTTTGAAATGCTGTTCTTGATCCTCATCGAATTGGCAGGGCTGCAGTGCAGATTCTTAAAAGTGGGATTGTGACTGGAAACTCGTAAAAACAGCTTAATTTCTGGAAGACTCATGGAGAAAATCGATTTTGATCCCAGTCCATTTATCTGGATGCCTGGAGGAGAAAAGCATGCAGCAAAAAGCATGATAAAATTTGCGTGAAAGAATGATCATTAATGCAGAACAGTATAGATCCCTTACTTGTAAAAGTTCTGGGAGTAGTGACAAAAAAGGCTCAAATCCTAACTGAGACTTGGTCAGGTATCTTCCAGTGTAATGTTGTGCCTAGAAAGAGTAGCCACATTCTTGAATATTTGCCAAAAACAAAATAAAAAATGGGAGCCCACTGTGTATACCGTTTCAGACTGTGGGCATTGTTGGAGCACCATGTGCTCGTTATTTGAGAAGACCTTGAGAAAAGAGGTTGGGTGAGAAGCTAGAGAGACCAAATGGCTGGAAAGTACCATATATAAAGAAAGACTGTTATGCTAGCTTATTAAAGTGATGAAACTACTAGTCTGTTAAGGAGAAGACTGGCAGCTGACTTCTTCCTCTGTGTTTTTGACTGATATCAGTGCAGTTGAATGAGATGACACTGGCATTTCAGTGTGAACTGCAGCCTAGCTAACTGTTCTCATCAGGAGGTGTAGGTGTAAGGCTGCCAGTTACTGTGTCCTGAGAGACTGTGGAAGATAATTATAGCTATTAGTTTTGATATAAGTACAGTGGGTTGATCTTTTCTGCAGTCTCAGAGCCTAAGCTGGTCTGCAAGGATATTCATGGTGTGCTGTCTTGAACTTAAGACAAATATGGCAACAAATTTCAATTTGAGGGCTAGAGCTGCTGCTGCCCCCTGACATCCTTCCTGCCTTCCTGACAGATGTTACTGCCTTGAGGCAAAAAAATCTAATCTGCTCATGAATCAGTTTGTGAACTGCTGCAGTTTTCAGCTCAGTGCATTGGATTGTATCAGGAGGGGTGCCAATTTCAGCTATCAAATTTTAGTCCAATGTTGCATGTCTTTCAGAGACCTTGGACTCCTACCACCTACCTAAATGGCTTCTTAATATATTGTCAGATGCTTGCCCTTCTCCTTCCTTCTGTTTGTGTATTTGCCTTTGTTCTCACTCAGCATTTCATTCTAGTCTGGATTTTACAGTTTGTTTTATGGTCATCTTAAATGTTTGCTTTTTCAACAGTTTCTTATCTCTCTATGGCTTACAGAACTTGTTGTCAGTCATTGTATTTGAAAAATACAAAATGCACATGATTTAAAAACATACAAAAATAAAAGGCCACCTGGAGGTTGACATTCTGAACTTCAGTTATGTGTGAATGACAACCTGTGGGTTTCTGGGTTTTGTTTGGTTGGGGTTTTTGTATGTGTATTAACCTGCTAGTGTTCTGTTGTGCTTCTGCGGTCTGCAAACAGACTTGAGTTTTTAATTTTGTTTCATCTATCCCGGCAGACATAACATTACAATGGCTTATTCAGCACTCCAAATCACGAAACTGTTGAAGAAACTTTGCTGAAGATAACTCTTCCCCAATCACTTTGACTCCTATCAGCTATACACACTGAAAAGATAAGGAATGCAACTGTCTACTACCAGGACTCACTGTGGTCATATTTGTTAACAGAAGTAAATCTGTCTTGTAACTTGTCTGTCTGTTTTGATTGGTTTGTTTAGTTTTTTGGGGGTTTTTTTTGAATCCAGATATTTGTCTGCCTAGGTGAAATTCCTGAACGCCTTAATACAAGACTGGAAGAAATCAATAATTTTTTGAGATGAAATGTTTTGAGTTTATGCATGCAAATTGTCCAATACATAGTACTTTTTTTTCTAATTTGAAAATGAATAAATTGTGCAGTGGAAACAAATGACTGGTTTTTTTGAATGTAGCATATAATTATTCACACAGAATGTCTTCCCTCTGAACACATATAGTTAAGTACATTCAATCAATTAAATCAATTAATCAATTAAAACTATAATTAAGTGCTTCTTATATTTGAGCAAAATGCTGATATTCAGAGCACTTTCAGATACTCTGGAGAAAAGTTGTTTACAACGTTATGCATCTGTAGTTACTTAGTTTTTCCAGTCACTAATGTGAATTATTCATATGAATATTCTTTTGGAATTGAAAAAGAAAATATTCTAGAAAATCTTGTCTGCCTTTATTGGGAAAGAAAAGAGTCTGGAATTGTAGTGTGTATTTTTCTTTCTTAAACAGTGAAATAGAGAGCAGGTGAGATCATGTGCATCTTCTCTGATGTTATTAACCCCCCAAATTTCCTAAGCATTGTTACTGTAAATGGAATGGTGTTTGTTGACTACTCTGTCCCTTCCTGAACCTTTAGAATTTTCAAGTATACAACATAAAATAGTTGGTATCTGAAGTAGGATTAGTCCTTTGGAAACTGATTAATGAAGCAATTCACTTTTTAAATTTTGATGCTTCGCTAACATCTTACAGATACCTTCTTCCAAGTACTTCACTTAAAAAGCACTCTGGTGGGAACTTGTCTGTGAGTAAGGAAATTCTCTTACATATGGAAAGTTCATGTCAGTAGACACACTCAGTGGCCAGTTCCAAGGACACTTGCAGATCTGTGAGGGAGAAGTTCAGGCATGGTGTTCTGAAGATGCTGTAAATCCATCGATTGCTATAATATTGAAAGGGCTGTAAGTCATGTATGCAGTTCTTGCACTTCAGTACATGAACTGTAGAAATAGCAACTTTTTTTCACTTCTATTTGAGAATGCTTTTAGGGTAGTGACCCTGATAAGCTGCTAAGAGCATACGGCACAAACTTGATAAAATCTTTCTTGAGTGTTATAGGAATGCTACTACAGACATGGTAAACATTATAGCACTTGCTGATAATATTTGCAGTCCCACCTGTAGAAGTGTGGCTACAGGGGCTCATTGTTCTGTGGTAACATGAAAATCATTTGGCTAAGTGCTGTGTACTCAGTACATAAATAAGTAGTGGGTTCTTCTGAAAGGGGGTGGTGCATATGACCTTCCAAAACCTGACATGTAATGCATCTAGTGACAATTTGCATGATGAAAAAACAGCACTCGGTTGCAAATGTGGCAAATTTAAAATGCTCTTGTTGCTCATGGACTTTTGAAGGAGTAGAGACATTGTAGAATACACTGGAATTGTACTCACTACGCATACAACACATGAGAAGAGCTACTTCTGCACCAGTGGTCTCAGTATCCTCCCTGTTGTCTTGCTTTTTGGCAGTAGTGTCTCATCCTTCAGAACTATCATCCTGGCATGGAAAGTCATGCTTCTGGCATAAGAGCTCCCCTTCACTGGATCACTCCTTAATCTGAATCCCTTCTCTCACCCCTTGCTGCAGAAGGTTTGTGGGAATGGACACAAATTCTTTGCAGGTTTATTGCAGTTGGTATAAAAGCAGTGCTGGCTCCTATCCTTCCCTTGCTTTGCTCAGTTTAGTATTTCCTTGGGAGGTGACCAATGAAGCGACCTTCCATGTGTGGTATCCAAATGTACCAGTGCAACCTAAGAACAGCCCGTGGAGGGAGGAGCTCAGGTTCCAGGTTGGCCAAATGAATCTTTGGGAATAAGAGGTGAAAATTAGCAATTTTGTTATTAAAATTATCCTATTATGCATAATTTGCTGATTTTTTCCTCATTTCTCCTACTGTGTGACCTTGTATCCATACCTTAGGCAAATCAGCACAGGCACTGGTCTCACTGTTCCTGTTTGCAGCAGCCTGTCTGTTTTTCAACAATTTGCCTTCAAGTAATTTTTCAGAATGGGCTTAGCTGAAGGTGAGTGTTTACTGTCATATCCAATAGCTTTGTGGGAAAGATGAATTGCCGATGACTGACAGCTGTGGCATCTTAGTTCTGAGACTATATTGCTAGGAAGGTTTACAGGGATCAAGACCACTGGAGACATCATTGCACCAAAATTGTTTGGAGAGTCACAAACATGCCAGCCAGGGAGCCTGTGTGCAGGGAGTGTCCACGTGCTCAGGCAGCAATACATGATGCTTGCCTTGCTTGGATCCACACGCTGTTTCAGAAGCAGAGAGGGCGTGCAGAGACAAGGAGTGACCACGCTGCTTTCTGCTTCTCAGCACTCTGAGAAGGTGCAAGACAGCACAGGCTGCTGTTGTGCTCTGGCTCTGCTTGGGAGGTGGTGAGTACCCTCCTGTGCCCACCCAGGATGTGTCGTGCAGGTAGTCTGACCTACATGCACAACGTCCTCCAGGCTCTGGGAAAAGAGCAGCACTGGGAGATGTGGATGGCTGAGGAGCTAGGACTGGCCTTCAGTTTAGGCATAGCTAGAAATCCCACTCCCTACAATGTCAAGAACCCTATAGCAGCCCAAGTGTAACAGTGATACAGACCAGTTTCACTTCCTTTTTTTCCTTCTCCAAGTGTAGGATCAGTTCTAACTGTCACACATGGTTATAAAGGACCACCAGGTGCTGACTATCTGTTTTACTTCCAGCACATTTTATTTATAATTTTTTTTCCTGCTAGCAATGTAACTGCCCCCATATTTCTTCTCCATTTACATTATGTATTGTAGGAAGCAATCATGAACATAAAATTTTAGTTAAATGATATTACAAGAAACCTCAAAGTCAAGTTTTTTAAAAAATGCACTATAAAACTTCCAGATTAATTGCAGAGAGCAGTGACACATACATAATTTGTTCCTGAATAAGCTGTTTTGTAAGGTGGTGTTTTTTGGTCACCTGAGCAGCATGTTAAATTGAATGTCTTCGTTCTGTGCTTTAGGACAGGGTGTACGTAGCAGCTGTCACAAGACTTTCGAGCAGGTGATGGAACATTTACAAGAATTGTGTATGGTAACCTCAAAATTTTAAAGTTTGTGAAACAGAACAGACTGTACTTTTGGCTCATGTCTCCAGCAGGCCTCTTCTGCCTCTGGCTGTGCCCCAGCCTGGTCAGTGTCACGCACACTGTGATCCTGCAAGAGCCAGCACAGCAAACTGCCTAACTCAGACCACAATACCATCACTTGGAAGCCTGTATGGGAGTGTAGTTTGGGAGAAGGGCTGACTTCTGGCTGTTTTCTGCACTGTGGTTTCCAGGCCAATTCATGCCTTGGAGTCAGTAAGTATCCATCTATACAGTACACCAGTGCAGCATTCGTTCCTATGGATTTGTCTTACTCAAATGCCTTCAAAGAGCAGGACACATTTGTGCATTTCCCTTCATAGATCCCAGGGTACACTGACCAGAGCCTTAGTATATCTTCATTTTATGTTCATGCTTGGGACTTAAGAATCAGACATACTCTTTTATGGGAAGTGCTTGTGAATCCAGTCTAGAGCCAGAGGTCAACAGCACGGAGTGGTTAGTGGAGGACAAGATATTGAAATCAAGTAAGTGTGAGGTGTCCTTACATCCTCCTTACTTCTGGAGAAAGATGGTTTTAAGATATGTGGGGCAATGAATAAGAACAAACATCATGTGACGTCAAATGTGATATGATCAAATTTTATCCCTGGCAAGAGATGGTGTTGCACTATGCAAATCAAATGATTCATGCCATCATAGACTACCCATCACTAGTAAACTAAAACAACACAGTATTCCAGCCTCTCAGAAGATACGGTCATCCAAAAGCCTCAGGGCATGGGACAGGGTAAACTACTTTTGTTTTCCTCCACTGCAGAAGAAATGGAACATGGGTGAGGAGTCATACTCTGTTCCCTCAGCAGATACAAGGACTCCACGACAGACTGCAGACTGGATTCTGTTGAGTTTTCAGCCTTTCCAGATTACTTGTGGCATACTGGCAATGGTGGTACCCTCACAAGCAGTGAGCTGTGCCTTTCTTAGTTGGCCCCCTGCCATGACAGGCATTTTCTCCTGCCACTCAGACAAGTGACCTGACAGTTGTCCATCCTGGCTTTAACCCTTTTCAGGAGCTGATGTTTATTTCCATTCTCTCTACACTTTGCTTCCTGACAAAATGGGTGTAATCCAAAGAGTCTTCTCAGTGCTAAAATCATCCTGAAAGAAGGCATCATGTCCCATTTCATGAGGACACTGTCTTCATAGCAGCATCATATACAGGACCCCAAGAAGAAAAGGGAACCTGGAACTGGGCCAACAAGAAAAACTGAAGAGGAAATGCAGTCCAAGTTGTATGGGCAGTGTGAGAAAGCATGAGTTTGTGGTGTGCTACCATCAGGAATAGTCCCCTCACCAGACCCCAGTGATTCTGATGAAGGATGAGATCATTTATTGTGTCTAAGAAATTTTGAAGGAGTACAGCTTTTAATAGAGTGGACAGGCAGTCCTGTGACCTCCCATGGAACAGATTTTGTCCAGTTGCTGCTGGAATGCGCTGGTGGACTTGGTCCCTCTGGAGGTGACTGTCAGCCAGCAGAAGCATTAGGATTTGCACTGAAATAAAATATTGAGAAGGGTTAGCCATCTCTGTATAGATTTTCCCAATATCTCTCCAGGGCCATGATAGTGTGGACAAGGTGTGCAGCCTTTTAATATTTTGGTTTGAGAGCTGCTGTGCTGGATGGGTCTACTTTTCATGGGCTTTTCATGTTTCCAGCACATCCTGTGGTGGAGTAAAAGCTCCACTGAGTTGAAGAAATCTCTGTAATCTTTGAACACCAAATCCTTGCTAATAGATGCAATTTGTTCCTGGGACTCAAAGGCAGTAATTTAGAAAATGCTTTTGTTTCTTCTCTGAGTTGGACCAGATTGCACCTAGTGCATATAATTTTGCAAAATGGTCCCCAAGGAGGGTAGCTTGTCTACCTCTGAGTTTCAAAAACTGAAGCACTATGATGCATCTATGTAGGCAGTATACTTTGTCTGGA